GAAAACATTGGTTGGAGACGGTGGCCCTAACAAAATTACTGCGACCTTGTTCAGTGAGCTTGCAGTCTTGTTGAAGAAGGTGACCAGATGTGACCTGTCCTCAAAGTGAGTTTGGTGCACTGATAAAATGGCAATAAGACTGAGTCACACTAACATCAACACATTACATGCAATGGGGTGTGTCATAATATGTCTTAACTGTCCAATCATAAACAGAAATGTCTTTAATCTTGTTATCATATAGAAATATAACCCAAATAGTCTGCAACCAGTTGAATCACCTAAAGAGACGCAGCACAGACGAGTGTTTCTTATTGGTGCAGTATGACTCAGATTGATAGCATCGTGTTGGTATTCCCTGGGTTTATAAATAAGATTTGAAAACCTTTCTCAGTCTTTTGGAGAGTGATTACAGCCAGTCTGATTCAGGGCACGATTGTTTGGAGACCAGTTGTCTTCCACCAGTTGACCTGTGCAGTCACTTTACAACCAACTGGTCACTGCAGCAGCTTGCAATCAGTTTCCCTAAGCAAAAAAAAACGTAATGCAGTCATCAGGCAACCTGCCGCTTTAGCCTAGTAGCAAGGAGGTTGTCATCCCACTGACAGAGCTATAATTTAACCATCCTCTGACTAACTGCCCCTCCTGCAGGTAAAGATGCTCACAGATGATTACATTAAAGACATCAGCTCTTATTGACATCATACAGAGCCAAGAATAGAAAAAAACTGAAACTTAGCAATCATTTTTTTATAAACATGCTGGCCTCTTTTAGCCATGTTCAAATTGAACAGCCTTTTTAGACCTTATATATAACAGAAGATAACTGTCTCTGTCTTGGGGGGGGGTTGGCATTTTGTTGCTCATTAATAGATGTGAGACAAGATTGGAAACATCTGAAATCAATATTCATGCGACCTTACACAAGAAAACGAATCAAATCAAATTAAAGCCACCATGTTGTTTATTTTCCGCTACATTTAATACAGCTCCGCTCTCACTCTCACTCTCGCTCACTGCTGCTCTCATAAATCAGGGCTGATAGGAGAGCATCTGTGATTTTGTGGTGATATTTTCAAACATGCCAGAAACTTCCGAGCGAATGAGGATGCATTTCTGGCTACTGGGCAGAATTTGGCCAGAATCTGGATTGTTTGTCTGAGCAGTTTGTCTGTTTTAAAAAAACAACTGTTAAATAGTTGTAGTCTGAATTACTCAAAACTACAACATTATTGTGAGAAGCTTTAATATATTAAAAAAACTATCCAGCAGTCCATAACTGCAAAAAACAATACATCAAAACAAACTAATCATTCATAAGGGTGTTGTCTAAAGGGTGGGTTTAGGTAAATGAAACAGTTTGGTTAGGGCAGGGTCATGGTCGTGGTAATTGTTGGTTAAAGGCCACAGGCTGGACACCACAGTGTCAGACATTGACGGTTTGGTTGTACACCGATCCATCCACCCCAAACTGCTTCCTGGGAGGTTTGGCTGTAATGTAACAACATGCTTTGTGCAGCTTTAAAGCATCATTTAAGTTGGAAAAAAATGGAAATGTGTTGAGAAATCGTGCACTCGGTCAGTGACTTCTATCTGTCCCAGTCCGCAGTTACTTCTTTAATCCTCTTGTGCACCTTGAGAGAATGTCTTCCCTGCTATGTACGTTATCTTAAACATGTTATGTAGACTTAAAGATGGCTAATCTGTTCTTTTTTTTAATGAATTTGCAAAGTGAGGTCCTCCAATGACCTCCTAGTTAAAGGTGGTTCCCCATCTAGTGCTTGTGAACATTAAATGTTTGCACAAGCAACATCTGGGCCGATTTCTGTTGGTGGAGGACAGTCTGGTTATTGTGGACAATCTCAGCCTTAAAACAAAATTCTCTTGCTGCAGCAGAAAAATTCACAGGCCTCTGCAGCCTGTCATCTACTGTCCTCGGGCGCAGCCAGAGGCTTTTCTCAATGTGCGCTGCCGGAGTTGGGTTTCACTTCTGGTAGTGCTACGATGAGGTCAGCATTGTGCACAAATTAAAAAAGCTCTCTGGAGGTCAGTGGGTTTTTGTGTCAGGTTTATCATAGTCCAGCAGGGCTGGACAGCTGGTTTGGGGGTTCAGCCAGGCAGGGTTGGCTTGGCTGAGAAAAAAACAGCAGGGCCACACCTGTTGGGGTGATTCATGATGAATAGCATCACAGCTCTGGAAAATTGCAGTGACTGAGGTCAAACTCTTTTAGAAAGAGCACAGCAAATAATGCATCTGCAACTTTAAAAATAGAGATCTCAGTTTCCGTCAGAAAATTCAAGAAATATGTCCCCACTGCTTGACTTGAAGCATATTTTTAAGCAATTTGATTACCTGATCCAAATATGAGGTTTTCCACCGGATAATCTTTTTGTTTTATTCAGAATGCGGCTGCATTTCTCTGTAATTGTCTGTTATGGTTTATTACATTAAGCTATCACACCTCTGATAGCTCAATGTGTTTAATGAGTTTTGTTTAGTTATAAGAGAGTGACCGTGCTTCATTTTCTCTTATAAATGTTATAATATAAGCGGCTAATACAGGAAATTAAGCCCTTTTACCTTCAAAGCAAAAGTTTCACTTTTTTAACATTTTGGCTACAGCACTAAGACATATGTTGTCCATTGCAATTTTTTTTCTAGTTCAACTAGAAGTTAGCAAATGTGTTTGCAGACAACCCGCTGTCTTCCATGCAAACCATGAAGAACCTTGACAATCTGCTAGACATTAAAGTACGGTACAGGGAAAAGGAGGTTTTTGGTGAAGCACTCTTATTATTTGGCCTAGTGACAACCAGCAACCACTCACCAACCCATCAGGGAGTACACACATGCACGCAATGCGCCTCTGACATCACATGAGAAACCTGAATACCATTAGCTAGGCTAAACAAAAACTTCATGATTAGTTTATAACAAATGAATTAGAAAATTAATTTGCTGAACTAGCTTATTTGCTAGCTGAACTAGCTTATTTGCTAGCTGAACTAGCTTTTTTGCTAGTTCAGCAAATCAATTCATTTGCTAAACTAGCAAATAAGCTAGTCTAATCATGTTGGTTAGCTATAGTAAAAACTTGACAACCAGTTCCATGAAAATGAAAGTTAAATGTATTTAATGCTAATCATTATCTTTAAATGTTCAATACAGACTTGTCTTTGCTTTGAAACAATTCAAACACATGAGGTAAAACTGAAAGTTCCAGCAAATACCACTTCCAGAAAAAAAACTTTTTTCTTGCTTGTCAAAGACAAACTTGAGTATTCATGAACCTGAGCCTAATTGGAGGCAAAAATATTTGTCCAAACAATGTTGGATCAGGACATTGCAATATATGCAATCTAGTGCCAGGGGGCAAAGCCTCAAATTATATTTAATATGCAGGAGAATTTTTTTATTGTACTTTTAACCGACTTTATGGGAGGTCCCCAGAGTTTGGTGAAGGGTTAAAAAACAATGCACACACAAAAACCTAGCACTTCCAAAACAAAAGCATTACCTCATACTTATAATCCAGTTCACCCTATTCCTATCTCTATTCCGCTAATGTACATAGCATTATATATTTATATAACACTATAATAAACTGCATATTTAAACTCTAAGATTTCAGGTGTTTCTCCTCAGATTTGCACCAACGATTGCCAGCACTGTTGCATAACAATAATTATGCAATCTTCCCAAAAATGGGACTTTGTCCTTTATGATTTCCAGCCATATTTTTGAAGACGACCATGCAGTCTGGGGAGAAGATGACACAAACACTTTGAAGCAACACATTCGTCTGTCTTGCCAAACTAACCTCAAGCTTGCCAAGTTGGCTTATCTTTACAAGCCAGCCTTTATCATCAGTCACATTACCAATATTCAGAGGCATCCACAAATAGTCATTATGTAAATATTGCCTTTCATCTCTTTTTTAAAGCCATTAACTTGAATTGAAACTGAGAGTGTTTGCTGATTGGAGAAGGAGAGAATACATTCGCAAGAGAAACATTCTTACAAGCAGGAGTCTGAGCCTTAAACTCCCCTGGGCCTCTGACTATGACGTAGGTGGATTCAGTGTTAGAGTCTTTATAAGCATGCTGCACAGATCCAGCCATGTGCTGGGCCAGCTTGTGTTTGGTGGAGCAGCGGGGTCAAGGCAGCCACGCTGAGGCTGCGGGATCCCCGGGGGTCGAGGAGGAAGCAGCGACTTCACAGTGGATCATCTTCAGCTGACTGTGCAGCAGCCGAGCGAGCCCGGGCACACTTTCATGCCCCAGCTGTCAGCAGAGGGGCTGGATACTGCTTTGATCAGGAGAACTCAGCAAACAGCCAGGTGTTAGGTGATCAATAACAAATATTTTGTGGTGATGCTTCAGTTTTGGGTTTTTTTCTTTTTTTTACTTTGTGACTTGCTCTGGAAATGTTGTAGTCTTGTTGCGGTAGACATTCAAAACACACTTCGAAGAGGAGCAGACTGCAATTTTGGTATCCCAAGATTTTGGATTAGCAGCAATTAATGCAATGTTCCTAAAACCCACACACCAGTGGGCAGGTTTGGGACTCTTGAATCTTAGCTTGTGTAGACCTGTATTTTAATGTCTGGGTAAAAATGAAATAAAGATCAAAGTTAGTTTTATATCTGTGCATCTGGGAATTCAGTCAAAAAAGGCTTAACAAAAAGTCTGTCTCCAAGTGAATCAAAAGCAGCTTCATATTTTCGTCTAATATCCAAGATAATATATAAGTGGCAATAAAAGTGATTTCTACAGCCCGTATATGGACATGGATGGATGTGGACATGTTTTAAACCTCCTTGTAATTTTCCCACTGAGCAATTGTGTCTGAACATCTTCTGCTATTTAACTGACCAGATCAATATTCCAGCAGTTTAATGAGTGATCCTGGTCCCTGTAACCATGATAACCATCAGCTAATCACGTATCAGTTCTGGCAAAGTTATTGAAACCCAAATGTTTGCGTTGTTGTCTTCTAGGGTGAAAAAAGTCCAGTTTCCTGTGAAGGTTTGCCGTTCAGGTTTGGAGATTCATATGCGAGGCAAGCCCAAGAACATCTCGGTGGAGACCAAAGCTGGTCAAACCATCGCCGATTTCAAGAAGAGTAAAGACGGTTTCATCCTGCTGGTGCCCGCTAACTAACAGTCCCCCAGTCAAACCATTAACAGCTACACCTCATCGACATCTAAGGAGAAAATATCAGCCACAGACATCCCAGCTGGACTTTAGCAAGAATTTCTTTTAATACATATAAACAATTTTTCAGTATATGAGGATTTTAAAGTAGTAATCTGAGCATTTTTTCTGGGAGAATCTGCTTTCTTCAGCATGCAGAGGAAACTGAAAGCTGAAATACTTTTATATTCATTTATAACACATTTATATGTATCGTACTGTTTATGCTTTTTTGTATTTTTATGAAATATAAAGATGTTTTTTTAAGATATGATTGAAAAAACAGAAACAAAAAGCACTTTTTATGATGATAAATATGGACATGTTTTTGTGTTGTAACACACCGCTGCCTGCAGACTGAGATAATTATGTCAGAAGTAATAAAAGGGGAAAGAAAAAAGACAGTGGGGGAAAATTCATTATTCAATGTTTACTTAAGTTCTCTGTATGTTAGTGTTTCTCTCATGTTTTGCCACATGAACAGAGTGAATGTCGACTTTACGCAGTATTTAAAACCCATTAAAATGTTCAGCCTTAAGTGGCTTTAAGGCTTCCCTGCACAAATCTACTGAACATAATGAATCAGTAAAGACGCTTCTATCCGTCCTCTGAGTGGCAGCTATGAGCCCGCGTCCACAGAAAACTGGACCCCGTGACGCAGGAGCTGCTTCCTCTCTCATCCCCTTTCCTGATAGTTAGACTGATAAACACAAACCAGCACTGGAGAGGTCATTTAAATGATTTCTGAGGAATGAAACTGAACATTCCTTGTTTATTTATTGTGCTATCCGGTTGTCCAGATATGTTTCTTTTATTGTGAACAAACTCACAATGAAACCTGCTTTTATACAAACGTCTTCTATTGGAGTCTTTTACAGAACTTTAAATAAAAGTACGGCATTAAATAAAGTGTAAATTTGTCGTCTCAGGAGAAGCCGCACTAAACTGAAGCCCAGCTTGTTTATCATGGTTAAAGCTAACCAATCATAGAAAACAAGAAACGTGTGATTAAGTTGAACCTTGTGTGTTTCTACAGTGCCGTTGAAAATCATGCTACCTTTGCATTGTTCACGTTTTGAGATTTGTAGAAACAATAATTGTGACAATAAATGTTTTTTTACATTAATAATCATGAGTGTTTTCCAGGTCTAACTAACAGCAGCTGCAGATAAATTTGAGCTCTTTTGTGTAATTCTTCCCAGAATATTTACAATTGAAGAACAGATAAACCATTTGGTATGAACCAGATTTACGGATATGCTTAAAGAAAATGATCCTTTAATAGTAAAGATTGCTGCATAATTGTCATTATTAGTCCTTTAGTTTGTTGTCTCAATGTTTGATGCAAACTGTCCCGTGGAAGGAACTGATACTTACATAATACAAGTGGTAAAAAAATAAAGCCAGGACTATAAACTACAGTTCCTCTGGTGGCCACTCAAGACTAACTCCAAATATGAGTTAATCCCCACAGACTCCCATGTTACAGCAGGAATAAACATGTTTACAGCCTGCTACAAACATGGTTTCAGTCTCTGTAGCTTATTTACATGCTTATAACAACTGAACAGGGTTTGTTGTTGTTTAGTCCCGGAGGGCTTTTTACATAACCGATCATTTTAAACTCAATTAAGGCGAACAGTCTGTGACTGAACCAGACCTATCCACTTTGTTTGAGATATTTTAGATGTATTATCAGCCAAAAACATGTTGTGTGGCTTACTGTACTAACAAATGACCCAAGAAGTCTCTGCTTCAGTTTCACATTCTGGTGATTTTTAAACTACCAGTCAACACACAATTTATACCTGCAGCCAATGCTAATTAAACTTGATGTTGGTTGATAACTTAACATTCTACCTTTCTGACTCAAATGAAAATCAGCCAGTGGTGCTGATACCAATACAAATACTTTTAACCTGTAAAGGCAGCTTGTGTTACATGATTTATAAATGAATCATCATCAGTTAGCAATTTCTTTTTGTGCCAGCCTCTAAAGCACTTTGGCTCAGCCACTGTTGCTTAAATGTGCTACAGGCTATAAATACAATTCACATGACAGTCAGCACAAAAAGGTTTGCACATTTTTCACAGATTATAACTGATGTATGTTTTTTAATTTTCCAAAGAAAAAAATGTTTAACACAGTTCAGTACGCTTCATACTAAGAGGGTAGAAACAAAGCATCCTATCAGTCCTAGCGCTAGCATCGATCAAATACCACTACCAGTGTTGGTATCGATATAGATGTTTAGATCAGTCTGCCCATCTCTAGGAGGCAGGTGAGGCCACAGGTGGTGGCGACTGGACTGATCACGGTCTCCGTTTCTTTTCATAGTGAAGGAACAGACGAGCGGAGAAGGGAGAGACAGAGGTCTGGACTGACTGTGTCTTTGTCTGTGAAACTGATAAATAAAGTGAAAACCAGTAAGCACAACCATCGCATGTGTTGGGTCCTTGAACAGATGCATCCCGGATGTACTCTTAGGAGAGATGTTACAAGCATATCCCAGCAGGAGTTGCCCCGGGGAAGACCCAGAGCATGCTGGAGGGATTATATTTCTCAGCTGGCTTGGGAATGCCTTGGTATCCCCTTCAGATGAGCTAGACGAGGTGGGGGGAGAGGAAGATCTGGGTTTCTCTGCTTTGACTGCTGCCCTCACAAGCTAAAACTACTTAAGTGTAGAAAATACCTGCATGGATGGATGCACAAACATAACAGTGTCCCTCTTTTATACATGCCCACTATAGAGTGGATTTAAAACAGCCTTGGACTTTTTTATTCCTTTATTATTCCTTATTCTCAATGCAACTGCAGATTCAGGTGTGTTATGCTAGTAGCAGCTAATGTAGCCTTTAGCCGAGATTAGCAGCAGGTTTCCAAAGAAGGACAAGCAGACTTTAATGTGGAAAATTAGATTTAGTGTTTTGTTGCAAAAGCTTCATTTCAAACACAACAACACTTTATTTTAGTGAGGTTTTAAATACGGTTACTGCTCCACTTGTAGTTTTTTCCCCCTCTGAGTAAATATGTGCGTGTCTCTGTTCACAGTCTGAGATCTTAATTCTCTGATGTGCTGCCAGTTTTTATCTGTCTCCACGGTGACCTGTTAGTGCGACTCGGTGATGTCCTGCCCTCGCCGTGACTCCTGCTCTTTGACGCACACCCTGCTGTGATTCCCCAAATCTCAGTGCTACATAATACTCTGAGAGTACAGATGTGTGTGTGTGTATTTTTCATGAGTAGGATCTGCATAATGTGGAAGGAGAAAATATTGTAGCTCTGTAAGTTACACCAAAGTCACCAAAATCGTCCGTGATGCTGGACCAGGATGTTCACACCTTCTGAATACTGGGTGGAAGTTGGAAAAAGCATGTCTTTCCTCTGATTTAAATCCGTGTTTAAGCTTCTGAGTTCTTTATAAAATAAATGACAATGATTTGTTGCCCACATCATTGTCTCAGAAGCTCAGAAAAGCAATGTAACTGCTTTCAGGGTACGCAACATATAAAGATAACAGCCAGTAGCCGATGATGAGATTTACGCCACTGGGACCCAAGCAGACTCGCAGACATCAAATAAGCTCAAGAGACGGGGAGTATTTTGAATAGTTTGAACTGGACCGTTTCCTGCTGTGTGGCACGTGTGAGTGAGGACACCTGTGGGAAACATCCCAGCCTAATTCTGTTCAAACTGTTTGGACCTCATGTGTGGAAAGAGCCTTTCAAACTTGTTTCCAAAAACGTTAACAGATCACACTGCTCAGCTATCACTAAGCGAAAAATAAATAATGCACTGTTAAAGTGTATTTAGGGAACACTGCAAATTAAACAGCTAGTGAATGTGAAACATCAAAAAGTCGAAAGCTTGCTTGTTTTTTTTCTCTTCACTTCAAAGTGGTGCTGGGACTACAAGGCTGTCTTGACATCCTGTCTCAGGAGGTTTGATGCCAATTCGCACCTTTATTCTTGTAGCTGTAATGACTCTCGCATGACTGCAACGTGACATTAACGTGTGAACGATCCAGAGGAAGTTTAAAACACATAATCTTCCTCTGGGAAATGGGAGCTACAGGTATGTGAGAAGTTCTAAAGAATAAAACAGCTAAATAAAGCGACTAATAATTCAGGCCTTGTAAAGATAAAATATCTGGTTCATAGTGTTTAGGGGTTTGAAAAGTATTAAAGCCAGACATATATAACAGAGAGAGAAGTTCATGGGGCATGGAAACAATAAAGATGCAAGAGGCATATCTTCTAGAGGGCAAAAATCTACTTTTTAAAACTGATTTAAATTAGTTTTTGTTTGGTAATTTTATACATGCAGTTTTTACTTCCCTGTGACGAGTGAAATTAAAGTTAATTTAGATCATGCTTCAAGGAACTGACAAAAAAAATGCCGTGTTCCTACCTGACTGAAGACTTTGTTACACTGGGGGAATTGGATTGTTTTTCATGCCTCGCTGCTATCTGAAGCAACACACCTTCAAGACGGTGCAACTTTTTGTGTAGTTTTATTACGAGGTGGTTTTGCTCAGTGCCCATTTCTCAGTGGAATAAATAAAAACAAATCAAATAAATATTGTACAAAACACAAGGCATGATTTTCACGTTCATGTGCCATAATACAGATTACATGAAAAGTAGTGAAAGAATCATTTAGGTTGTTAAATAAAAGTCATTATCCTATGTAAGAAAAGTTTAGCATCAAAATATGCTTAAAATGCCCAAAGTAAAAGTAAGTATTATACTACATTACTTCACTGGATCATTATTATTTATTTATTAATTTGTTTAGCACTTCAATGAGTGATGAGTGAGTCTTTTTTGTTTCTTCTCTGAACCTCTTGTGAACTTTTGACCCTCAGGTTTTATTAACTAGGTGACCGAAGTCAGCAGCTTCTTCTTTCGCGTCTCGTTATATTGAGATCTCAATAATCAAAGAAAAATTAAAGTAAGCATGCAGCAGAAATCACGGCCGTCGGCACACCTCAGCCCTCTGCCCTCATGCTGCTATTTTCACAGCAAATTGCATTTAGTAGCAAAACAAAGTTCATTGTAAATCTAATTTCGACTTTGAGTCTCAGAAAATGAGAGAATCCCAAGGTCTCTACAGCTGCAGAGAGAAGATCAGGCAACTGACCGAGATTTGTTTACCAAGATGCCACGAGCAGCGCCTCAGCGTGAGCCTCAGACTCATGTGTGTTACTGTGAAAGCTCTGTGTTTCGGCGCCAAACGAAGGCCTCCAGAGTTTCTGTG